CAACTAATGGTACATACTATATCGAAACGTACTGAAATGTATATACAAGTTTATACATTTCTGAATATAGAAGTAAAAACTGATATGCCTAATCTCACCAATGTTTATCGACCGCCCTGTATTTATTATAAATATGTCTATGCTACATTGCTGCAGCTGAGTGCTCAGTTGTCGAGTGGTTTAGACTGCTGCTGGGAGTTTGACCTGGTTCGATTCCACGCAAAAGGGCTGGCTGCGTGGTTAGTTTTCGTGGCTTGTGGGGCTGCGGCTACCTTTCCCCCGCATTTCTTTGGCGCTTCGAGTTTTCTTCTTCGCGCATGCGCAATAAGAATTTCCCCCCGCATTTCTTCGGCGCTTCGAGTTCTATAAGAATATTATCTCTGCGCGACTGCAAAAGAGAACTTTCGCCTTCTGTTTTTACAAGTTCATGCACGCGTTTTACTCATCGCTGAGATTCCTGTTATTTATTGCCATGTACGTATTTCGATTAATTAAAGAATTTATTTTTCTAAATTGGGTGTCTAGCCATAAATCAGACCCCAAAGGCTTTCCTCATGTGTAACGTAAATAAGAACCATATTTCCCTTAAAGCTCTCTGTAAGGCAACTCATTCCGTGGCAGGTAACCTTCGTGTACTTTGCTGTACGGATTCCCCTTTGAAGGTTAAGTTAGTTTATTTCAGAAACCTAACCTAACCCTGAAAGAGGAATTCGCTATTTTGAAAGTACCTTTGGTTTAACTTTATTAAACATATGCGTTCGTTACCTGTAAAGGCATATGAAAAACTTTGATAATATTTTATTAGTAAGAAAGCCGGAAAACCACAAAAACATTGTTATCGTTTAAATTTGCCTAAATAATAACATAGATGTAAAGAAATTTAGTCGTTATCTAAGATTCTAAAACTGCAAAAATTCTTCACAATATACAAAATGACCAGAATTTCGGCAATTAAAAATTAGGAACTATTGTTTATTTATTTTAATTTCTCGTATTTATGAAAGAAAAAAAATGCAATCTGAATACTGGAGATCAGAATTCTCAACTAGAGACTGAAACGAAAATTTACCATTCAAAAATTCGAATATATTTTCTTGTAGCAATCTTGCTTTTAAGCAAGAAGAAAAGAGATGAGAACTTTGGCGAACGCCGTTTCTTCCAGTCCGTGAGGCATGGTAAGTTCCAAATATATTTAAAAGTATAAAAAGTTAAATAAAAATAAAAACAATGTTATTGCCAACTCATAAAACAAAATCTTTAATCTGTTAAATAATTTTAAAATTGAAGAAGAATTTGAAAGCTTCACTATGTACTTCTGTTTCTCGTTTTGGAATGTCAGTTGGCATAGAAAAATAAATGTCGCAATCTTAAAATAAAGAAATGTATGAAAGAGAACGAGTGTAGTTTTTACCCTATGAATGAAACTGCGTTATTTCAATCCGATTTTATTTTGGTTCTAAAAGATACTGCACAAGAGAACAGAATTAGAAATTCTACGATCTATAAATTATATTATATTTGAAACACACTTTATTTACCAGGATTCTAATATAAAAAATTAATTATTTTCGGTAATTTTTGTCCATTTCAGTCTGATCACTTTTATAATGACCTACATCAAGAAATTTGTTCCCAATTCTTAATGAATCCCATTACGCATGACTTACCAAAACCAGCGATCTCTTAATGTTAATCTCAAACGAAAGCAGTGCGCGCTTTTGAATATTTTGCTATTTCGAGTCGTTTCACTGTGTCTTTCGAGAATAGTGACGAATCATAGAGAAAAGTATTTAAAATCTGTTAGCATTCACTATTTTTCTGCAGAAAGGTTTAGTAGATTTACGAATTAATCTTGTGTGCTTCAGAATTCTGTTCGACATATGTCAATGACTTGGAATAACATACAGCTTTTTTTCTACGCTTCAAAGGATATTGTTGATTGCTAAGAGTTTTTCAAGTTTTTTCTTATTCCTTTCGGTTTTGTTGTAACGTTTGCCCCTTTTTTATTTATAGGGGCTTCTTTTATATGTAGAAGTCTACTTTATTGGTAGTAGAGATTGCCTTTCTATTCACCACCAGATATCTCATCTGGCAGCTTGTCCGCATGTGTACTGACCGTATTGACTTGACTGCACACCTTAAGATTTCGCGGTAAAATGATAATTTCCACGACATCCTAGTTTTTACAACTCAAGTTGGAATTTGTTAATATGTTTAAGAGATTTCTTGGCATTTTGCCCGAATGTGTACTAACTGTACTGACTATACACTTTACCTGGTCGCAAAATAATAGTTTCCACGACATTCTAGTTTTTACAACTCAAGTTGGAATTTGTTAATACGTTTAAGAGCTTCTAGCACCTATAATATTTTACAGACTATTTATTTTTTTGGCACGTGTCGAAAAGTCCTCGGCTGACAGGATTAAATTAGGAAATCAGATGAAAAGGTGTAAGATTTATTTAATTAACAATTAATTTCCTATCTTGAATCTTTCCTGCATTTTTACTATTTCGTCTAATTTACTACAGTATTAAGTGAAGTAAGTTTAATATTAGAAGTGAAGATTGTGAGAATCTAAGCTGAGGATAGTGGATTGCCAAGCCGTCACCAATTATTTACCAAAATAAAACCTAAACAACTGAACAGCTAATAAGACAGCAAATGTCTCAGGATCAGTCGTGATGTTATCTATTGTGAGTATCGTGTATGATTTTCCTGAAATATGTGTTTGCTGCGATTTCTAACTCACCTTCCGGATCGGAAAATTTGTACTCCCGAGCTTCAATGAATACTGCTTTTAATTTTTAAAACGTTGTATTTTCCTCCGCTCGATTAGTTGCATTTCAAGCGGACTTTTAAGCATTAGCAGCGGTTCCACAGTAGCTGAGAAATCTTTAATGGAAGTTCCGTGGTAAGAGTCTTAATAAAGACGTTAACCGTTGCATTGTTACGTATAATGTGCAATTTTTTAAACGCCATGATTTTAAATTCATCAGATTTGAGACCTTTGTTGGACAACATCCTAATTGTTGAAGTTCTTTCTTCGGAGTTTACATTTTGAAACACTCATCTTGAAACCCACATCTTGTAGCAAGGCGAAAACGTCCTCCGAGTCATTAATATGTTCCTCATTTGCCTTACTTAGTTCATCAGGGCACGCTGAGGTTGCCGGTCTCTTCCTTAAGCTAAGATTGTCTTCCCTTATTTAAACTTCAATCTAGAGAGTCTGATAGAGTAGAAGAAATGGTAAAAGTAACTCGCTGTTCTGCAACCGCTGTTTCAGACCTTCAGACTCCCATGAGTGTTACACACGAACATGTGTGTCTAGTATAACTGTTAAATGTTTAGCTTGTTTGTATTATATCAACCTATGTTCATACTAAATTTTATTAAAATCTGTCCTATAGTTCTGGAGATCGTAGATCAGATGTGCAAATTCTCTTAATTTATTTCACCAGTGTAGTTAGAAGACTACCTCGGTTAACGGTTTTGGTTTGGTTTATGGGATTAAGGCGAAGCCTCGAGAGCTATCTGTCTAAGGAGACGGATGCCTTCGTGGAAGACTTTCTAAGGCTTTCGGCCAAGCTTTTTGAGAATTTCATGCTGTTTTAGTTAGAAGCATCTACAGCTCTGTCATAATCTCTTGTGAAGGCTTGTGTGTCTCTCTTGTGAAAGTTATGTTGCTGTTTAAAAGTATCATGGACAATTTGCGCACCAATCCTCTGTTCTTCGGCGAGCTTTATTTTCGATTTACTGCGTTAGGCTATTTCCATTAGTTTAAACTTTCGTTTTAATGTGAAAGGAACGCCCTTGAGCTTAGTACTTGTAGTGTGTTCTCTAATCATAAAGTTCTAAAAATTTAAATCAATTTTGAAAAGATAAGAAGAAAATATGCACGAATATACGTTACGAAACAAAAAATATCTCAGTGGATTATGCACACACAGAACGAGTTGTACAGTGTAATCGTTGAAAATAAGCTTGAATACGCTGTTCAGCGAGGATTCTAGGACTTTCACGCGTTTTTTGTTACACATTTTAGTATATATCACTGAATGTGCTGCGCATCACCACACACACATAATCTGCGCCTGGATAATCGAGAGTATGATGTACTTCTGTTACCGTTGTAACTCTTCCAAAGTCTCCGCTAATAATAAGGTCGTCGTAGCTTACTTATTAATAAAAACTAAAGAAGTTGGATATCATTGTATCACTGTATATCACATAATAATTGGCCAACAGAAATAAGACGAAAATGGGGGGAGGGGGGAACTAAAGCCTTTTTATTGGCTACAACTTTTATTTAGGTTTTAGATATGAAGTGCAATTTAATTTTTTTTATTTAGAACCTCCCAGAAATTAAATTCAAATAATCAGGGTCAGCTTGAAAGATAAGCTACACGGGCAGCCGCTTAAGGTACTGATTTTTGGAAGCACCAGATAAGTTGCTCTCGCAAGTGACAGCTTCCTAATTTAATTTTTTATGTTTGAATTATTGATATTTTTAACTTGTACGAGGTGTCAACTATATTGATAGCTTAGGGCGCCAAATGTGTTGGAGCTGGCCAACAAATAATACTCACTTTAACAATAAAAGCTTATCAAGTTTATCTTTGACTTAAACAGTATTTTCTCAGAGCGAGTGCTAACTAAACTAGTACTTTTCAGCAAATTCAAATCTCCAGTTAATTACAGTTTTAAACTAACTACTTTGTAAGCACAGAAGAAACTCAGCTGTTCAATTACAATTAGGCAATTGAACCTGTTACCTGTTCAATTCCCACTAGGCAGTTGTAACAGATACTGGCACTGTATTGTCAGAATACTCGTATTATAGCTTTATTTATATTTAGTGCCAGAATTTATAATTAGTGCCAGAATTAGTGCCTTATTTATAGTTAGTGCCAGAATATATAGCTTTATTTATTAAGAGAATTTGAGTTTTATATATGGCTAAGATGAAAGTAAAAACTATTGCATTTTCTTTATTTTAGCTGCTGTGGTCATTTATTGGAGTGTATTTCCTGCTCACAAAGAGTATTGCCCAAGAGAGCCAGCCCTCTTCAAGTGGTAGTCGGAGAAGATTGCCAACTGTCATCATCACCAGAGATCATTTGCGTCAAAAACCAGCTTTATATGGTTCTTATGGAGATGTTGCAGCTGAATTTGTAGTTAGTGCAGGTTTGGATACAGGTAAATCTTCTGCTGTTCGAATAAGGAGGCTTGGAAGCAGCAGAAATAATGCCACACATTCCTCATCTTCGAATAAGAATAATAATAACAGATTCAGTCATATTAATCGTCAACCTAATCCTACTAATCCTATTCAACACAACAGGCCAGTAGTGGTAGATGCAAATGTCAGGTACAGGGCACCCACTCCTTATTCACCATCAATTGACAGAAGAGATTACCTAAATGAGAACAGGCAAGTGCTTCGAGGAGGCATTTCTCTCCAAGAACAGCATCATGGGCTTGGAGGATATTTCAATAGACCTGCTCCAGCATATAGGCCACCTATATTTGTGCCATACATTCAGCGTCATCAAGGTCCTAATGTTCGGTTAGGGGATAATGGTAAAGAAAACGGAGCCTCTCCGAATAATTTTCACCCCCAGCAACATCAGAGAACACAAGATGTACAAAATCAATTACCTGGAAATCCAAATGGACAACATTATTCTTCACATCAGAATGAAATGAAGTCAAATGGGCAAGATAACCCTATTGGAAGTTTCCATACTTCAAGTAAGCCCAATCATGAAATAGATGACGTGAATCAGTCACGTTCTGGTTCATCTGTTGGAGGAAATGAAGAAAATGAGTATCGTCCTTCATTAATACCACCCGAAGTGAATAAGACTATTATTGCAGAGACTCCTACATTAAGGTTGAATGTACCTAATAAGAAACATGAATTTTATAATCTTATCATAAGGAAGCCATCCTTCATATTGAAAGATCAAATCACGGTGAATGAGCTCGCTAGGCGCTCTGACCGACCTGCGTTTGGACCTAGATCTCTTGACGTAGACAGTCAAGAAACAGTTCGACGTAAAAGGCAAGCATCTAGTTATATATTTCCTGAAGGAAATCCTGACGAAATTCCTCGGAAAAGGAGGTTTGAAGTTGACTTCGATGATTCTCACGATAGCGAAGAGAATGAAAATATAAGTTTCAATTCCAGCAAAATTAGTGTGTATGGCTCTCAGAATATAGAAACACCTCCACGTCAGACTAATAGTCTTAAAACTAAAAATCAAGAAAATGTGACAGCAAACAATGTACAGTTTAACGATGATAGCCTTGAATATCACGTACCAAATGTAATGGTAAATAATCACGGAGAAACATCCAGTTATAGTTCCGATGAAAGTAAAGAAAGGAAACAGTATGGTGGCTATGATACAGACAATGTGGACAGCGTAGATGGTGATGTGATGTCATTTTCTGATTTCTTGATGTCACCTGCAGTTGATAAAATTCGCCTTGAGCGCCAGTTTCTTTTCCGAAACTCCAGTCTTCCGAATGACAGTCACACTACAGAGAGCTCAAGAGCTATTTCTGGGCATAATTTCCAATCTTTTATAAAAAACACAACAATTCCTTTGCTTAGAAAGCTCGTTGCTGCCAGGCTGCTTAATAATATGCTCAATTTTGGAAATGTTTCTAACAACTCAACTCTTGTCCAATCAAGTGGTATCCAGCAGGCAACAGTTCGTTCTTCTGATACCCATGCGGCAGAACAGCGTCAGTTTGGCATAGTTGTCAGTCCTTTCGACAGCCATGAAGCTTTATCTTCTAAATCATCCATGCCAATCATTCGCATTCTGAGAGGTCAAATTGTTCCTTTGCCTGATTTACCACAAGAACTAATACCGATCATTCTAGGAACTTACAAGCCAAGTTATACAACAACACGAGCACCCTATAACGAAGATCCATCAGAAAATATCTTGGATAATGCAATTTATGCACTGCTTCAGAATGAGGAAATAGGGAATACTCGACCACTGAGTCCTGTTTACAGCCCAGTGCGGCACAAAGCAAACAGAAAATCTCCATCGACGAACTACATTGGTTCATTAAAATCTTCAGATCCCATGCCCAAGCCTTCTTACAGTTACAAGCCAAATGACTGGTCGATGGGTCCAAGGTGTGACCGCCTTACTGAAGAAATCTGTCTTGATGATTCTGATTATCCCAGGTAAATATACGCTAATGCAAATTTTATTGATGACCATTTTATTTAAATAGAAATTCTACTTGTTTGTGTTCTGTAACGTATACTTACAAAAGGTTTATTTACAAAACGTATACTTACAAGGCTTGCAAAAGAAAGTTCAGGGTATTAGAAAAATATATTGCTGCCACGAAGGAAAAAAATCTGTAGCTTTCAATACATTATAAAAACTCTAATAATAACTAATAAATTAATTGAAAACGTAACTTATTTTAACTCCTTAAGTAAGAGTTAGTTATGTAAATTTTTTTTCAGGATCGAAAATTTCGATATAAAAATGACTACAAAATCTACTCCGATTTTTGGTGACTTTTTTAAACCTAATTTCATCTTTACAGTGACTAAAACAAATATTTAAAAACTGTATCATGTTCAGTTGAATTAGTTTAAATATTTGAAAACTAATTCATTTTTAATCTTTAAAAAATGCAGGGAAAATATTTTTGCCTGTTTCGTCTTTAAGACCATTTTTGAATAATGATGACTTTTGAGGAGTATTTTAGCAAAAGTTATCTTCTTAATTAAAATCCATCAAATTGATATTTTTAGTTGTTATTGTGTTAATTATTAAAATACACATAACTCTTTCGGGGCGAAATACCTTCTTAAAGCAGTCACCTTTTGAAAATAACTAGTATTTTTGAGAACATAAGCTTTCTAAGACGATTAGTTTCAAGGGAAGACATAAATGACTTATAACCCTGGGTGATCGTCTTAGAGAGGATTTACGTGCGTTTCTTGTAGGTTTAACATGACATAATAATATAAGGAAAGCATATGGTATTTATATATCAAATGTTTTTAATTCAAGATGGTGAAATGGACAATTGCTTCTCATGATTGTTACATTAAAAATAAATACAGGGTGTGAAAAGGTCGTTGAAAAACTTAACATGATGGTCTGTCATACAATGACAAACAAGATTTACATAGGAACTTGCGTACGAGAATGCGAACGGCGACCGCTGGAGGGCGATGTTCGCAGGCTTACAGAAGAGTGGGAAGTGTGATCATTTCAGGCGTTCAGCATGATGGAGTGCCTGCACATTTTAGCAACAGTGCGCGGGAATACCTCCGAAAGGACATATCCTGATGGCTGGATTTGGCAAAAGCGGACCAGTTGCATGACCATCGAGATACCTCGATCTGACTTCTCTGGATTTCTACCTGTGGGCATACGTGAAGTCCATAGTGTACGAGACGATAGAAACATTGGACCTGGAATCTCGTCGCCAGGATCGTGGAAGCGGCGACACATGTACGTGACACACCTCCCCATTTTGAACTGGCCCGTAAATCCATGCGTCTATGTTGTGAAGCATGTATTGTGGCGAATGGAAGGAATTTTGAATATCTTCGGGTAATTAACAATGTTCTTTAATATAAGCCATATTAACACGTTTTTCGACATCCTTTCTTTCTTCCCTTTACGTTCGCCAACTCTGCCCGTTAGCGGTCTCCCTTTGCATTTTCGGACACACGCTTCTACGTAAATGTTGTTTGTCATGGTATGGCAGACCGGCATGTTAAGTTTGGCAACGACCTTTTGAAACACCCTGTATATTGAAACCTCTCTAAAACGACCACCGCGGTTAAACGCTAAATTGGCCTTCTTTATAGATGAGGACTCTGATTTTCACCGACAGTCAAGGTGACTGTCGGTGAAAATCAGAGCAATCCTGCGTTCTCAGAAATAGTGATCGCTTTCCGAAGTAGTCGTCTGCAGGAAACTGTCGCCATGAGAGGTTTCACTCAATGCATAATAGTGAGTGACACTATCCTGATCTTTCTGTATCTCTAAGACATATTTCTGTTTTCGGTTAGTAACAAAATCCTACCGTTAGAAATAAAAATGAAAATTTTGAGAATACTTTGCTGTTAGTTAGTTAGCTATGCATTTATCACCGATATTATGAAAGATGAAAGAGCATTATTTTAAAGATCTCTTTAAATCTGTGTCCTTTAATAGCATTTTATAACAAGTGTTATTTTATACTATGAGTGGAAACACGTTTCTGATATCTTATAATTTATCGACTAAATAATTTCTGACTCCTCCACCTATTCGCTACAGAATCGTCTGCACTGAGAATTAAAATCGAAAATTAATGATGGAACTTTGTAACAATGTATTCATACCTATCTTTGATTCTAAACAAACACGGACATTTTCAAAACTGAAAAAACCTTTTAGTTGAGTTTTAATTTTGTTCAACAGTAATGATTTATTTTTATCAATTGGTCAAAGGTAGATATTTTTATTTAAGGAGAAAACAGAAATACTTGTATGCTTTTTAAAAATTTTTATTAAAGAGAAAAATTTTCATGTTTAACTGTTGTTTGAAGTTTTCAACCCCAAGTAAATTATTTTACACTAATTCTAATAATTTAAATTATTTATTTGTAACAGTTATACTTTTAATAATAGAATGAATGGATTAATGGATACAGTTACATTTTCAAATAATTTTGAAGCTCTCATGTCTAAGCAATTTTGAACATCCCCATTAGCAGATTTCTGAGAAGATTTCCTAAAATTTACTTTGAAAAGCGTGATAAATACGATATTGGTTATAAGCGTTAATGCCTGTAACTTTTAACAAGTTCATATATTGAAAAGCTAATGGTTCTTAGAAGTCAGATAATGAATTCTCAGAAGTCAAATAATGAGTTTCGAGAACTGGAAGTTTTTTTTAGTTCAGTACAGTTCTGAAACTCTTTTTTTGTCGAGTAATTAGTAGAATTTCTGCTAATGGTGAAATTCATTATTACGCAAAAAACGTACACAAAGGTTATGGATATAGTCAAATATTTAAATACAAAGAGGATGGTTGTAAAGGACTGCGGGAACATAAAAGCGCAGATTAAGCATGATTTTAATGCTCTTTGAAATGAATTTTTATAATAATATTAAAAGCAAGAGTACTGCAATTTGAAATTATTAAATTAGTTCCTGAGAGAGATGGGGATTTCATGGAAAGTGTACGTTTTAGAAGCATTTCGCAACAAAGGTTGTTTTATATCACAAGGATGGTAAATAAAATTCTTTTGTAATATCTGATAACATTATTTGGATTGCAACAGTCTTAATACTCACATCATTACACCTGAGGAAAACCATGAAAGCGCCCATGCAACCAGCGTATTTAGCAGGATTTGAAACCCAGACTGAATTGCTAGTGTTCAACGACTCTACGACTCATTTGCTGGTGGTCTGGCCATCGGTGCTATTAAACTAAAATTCATCTATATTTATAAAGGGCCCATCAGAAAAATGCACACACTTTAATTAATAAAAGAAAATTCTTGTGCTTTGGTATTGAAATTAATTATAAGTTAATTAAATCATACAAAGGTTAGCCTAGGTTTAATATAATATTCCTGAATATGTACCTATACAGTTACTTAGATTGCTCAAAGTGTTACAGCGGTAGCCATTAACAGCTAGACACATAGCACAATACTGAGCAGTTATTTGAACAATGTTTAGTTGATGTGTCTGAGGGGACTGATGCACATTTTGCCATAATTTTTTGATGAAGGACCTGTAGCCTCACCGATTTACTATACTACACAACATCCCTCCAAATTAATTTTGGTTCACTGTCATGTGTCACATATATGTGAGAGTACCAACATGTTAAGGAAATATCATACTACATATTATAAAGATAATTAAATTTTGAAACCAATATATAGATATCATCTGTTAAAGTCTGTATGTATTTTTCTGACATATTCTGTATGTGAAGTTGTACTTTTCATTAGTCCCACCTTTTAATTATTACTGTACACAATATATATGAAACTGAACTCACAAATTTTCATATCTGTCTCTTTTATTAGTTTGCTTTTCATATATTTTTTCAATAGTTTTATTTTTGATGTTGCTTTACATGAAGTCAATTTAAACATAAGAAAAGAAAGCAGAGCACAAAAGAAATTCACACTGAAACTAAATTAAAAATTAGTCTGAAGATTACTGATGTAAAATAAATAGTGGCTGATTTATCAAAATTACATAAGAAGGCAAATAAATAATTAGCATATTCAGATTTTAATTACAAGTAAAAATTTTATATTCCTAACAGTAAAAATGCACATATTACAATTTTATTCATTTATTACTCACAACCAACTCAGTAGAACTCGTCAAATTTTTAAAATGTGCCAACTCCGGCAAGCATGCTCATAACAATCCTTTAATAGGGCAATGTCGCCGTTTTCGTATACATTATTTGTGTTGTATTCCAAATTTGAACAATTTTTATGAACAAATTGTGATATTTTTTTGCCTTAATTTTAAAATATGCGCTTTGGAATTTGCCAACAATGGAAAAAACTACGTTGAAAATTCTACAGGAATACAAAATTTTGCCCAACAAATTTCTAAAAGGAACAAAAAGGAAATACATTTGGTACATACCCAATGCTGCTGAGGTTTGTGCCATGCCGAGTCTCTGAAATTCTTTAATGTTTTTTCAAGCAAAAATAAATCGCTCATGGAAAAGAATAGGGCAAAAAAATTACAGAAAGATTTGGAGATGAACGTGTTTTAATTTTAATGTACTATTATGTAATCCTTATTTAATAATTTAAATTTATATTTAAAATTTCTAAAATATGTTTTATTTTCATAATTTGATAATGTTAAGTCAACTTGCGATAAATATCAATAATTTGGCATAACAATCCTAAGAAAATAATAAAATAGAATAAGAAAAGTTGTGAAAACCATCAACTTGCACCCAATGAGTAACTTTTACCTTTTCATATGTTAAATCCAAATTGAGCCAAGGTGTTTGTGTTAATACGTATCATTAATTTTACAGACAGTATACTGTATTCTTTTATATACTGCAATATTTAGTTTGTACTGAAATTATGTAGTGACAATAATTTTACTTAAGACAGAAATTTTTCAATATTACAAGTTTACATTTTTTTAATTTTTCTTTTACGTG